TACCTCCCTGGTTCCTTTTCATTATCCTGGTTCCTGTAGTTATGTCTGGATACATCCTACTCAACTTTTCAGAATTTGGTGCCTAGGAGTCACATATGAGGGAGAACATAGTTTTGTTTTTTTTTTTCCCGAGTCTGTGTTACTTCACTGAGTATAACAGTTTCTAATTCCATCCATTTACCTGCAAATTTCATTATTTCATCTTTCTTTTTTTGATATTTTATTTATTATTTTTAAATTTTATGTGTATGAGTGTATTGCCTGCATGTATGTGAGTGCACCATGTTGTGCAATGCTGCAGAGGTCAAAAGAGGACGTTGGATTCCCCTGGAACTGGAGTTTAAGATGGTTCATAGCCACCATGTGGGTGCTACGGGAATCGATCCTGGGTCTTCTGCAAGAGTAGTCAGTGCTCTTAACTGCTGAGCCATCTCTCCAGCTCCGATTTCATCTTTATTTACTGCTGAGTAAAACTCCATCGTATAAATGAACCACATTTTCATTATCCACTCATCAGTTGAGGGACACTTAGGTTGCTTCCATCTCTTAGCTATTGTGAAAAGAGCAGCAACAAACATGGATGGACAAGTGTCTCTGCAACAGGATGAGTTCTTTGGGTATATGCCAAGGAGTGGTATAACTGGGTCAAATGGTAGGTTCATTTGTAGTTTTCTAAGAGTTCTCCACACTGCTTTCCATAGGGGCTGAACAAATTTGCAGCCCCACCAGCAGTGGATGAGTGTTCCCCTTTCCCCACATACTCTCCAACATTTGGTATCATTTGTTCTCTTGATCTTAGCCAGTCTGACTGGGGTAAGACGAAATCTTAAAGTGGTTTTAATTTGCATTTCCCTAATTACTAGTGATGTTGAACCCCTTTTAAGATGCATCTTAGCGTAATTTGCATTTCCCTATTTACTAGTGATGTTGAACCCCTTTTAAGATGCATCTTAGCTTTTTTTATTTCTTCTTTTGAGAACTCTCTGTTCAGCTCCTTAGCCCATCTTTTAATTGGGTTATTTTCTTTCTTGATTCTTTGTTTTTTGAGTTCATTATATATTCTGAAATTAAGAGACTTTTCTTAGAGACATGGACATTACCACAGCTGTCAGCATTTTTTTTTTAATCTCCGTACATCACCAAAAGAGTTATGAAAAGTGTAAGAAAAGCCAGTAAATAGCCTGTGGAAAAACTACATTATGTAGTCAGGTCCAGTCAGAGTCCAGTTCACTGTAGGAACACAGTGTACAAAGCCATCTTTTAAGAGACATTCTCAGATTCCTGTCTTCTCCAAGTCTATTGAAATTCTCAATCAGAACCCAGGTCTTTACCTGTGGGAAATATGTGTCACTAAGATTGGATGATTAGATTTTATTCATTACTTTTCTTACTGGTATGACCAAATACTTGACAGGAAAAAACTGAAAGGAGGAAATATTTCTTTTGATTCATGGTTTGAGGGATGCAGTCCATCATGGTAGGGAAGAAATGATGGTGGGAGTATGAGGAGGCTGATCATATTGTATCTGCAGTTGAGAAACAGCGGTGAATGCTGGTGCAGGTCAGGCTTTCTCTGTTCCCTTGTTTACCCAACCTGGGCCCCCAGGGCATTGGATGGCGCCACCCATGTTTAAACCTCTGCCTTACAAACACAAACAAAAGTGTATCTACTAGGTAATTCTAAATACTTTTGGTTGTGAGCCTGAGCCTTTAACAGATATGTCAGCTCTCTAGCCCTCCTAGGTGATTCTAAATCTTGTCATGTTGACAATAATGATTAGCCACCACATGACCATCACAGTTGTTCCTTTTATAAAATAGAAGAGAAATATTTGTGAATGAATGGGAAGCTAGGAAGGAAATGTGGATTGATTTCTCAGAATCAAACCAAAATTTTAATCATAAAGGCATACTCAGGCATATAAACTTTAAGAAAGATTCCAGGTTCTTGGTAGATTGAGGGGGACCTTGGAGTATGGTTCAATAGTAGAGTGACTGCTGAGTATTCATGAGATACTAGATTAGACCCACCGCACCATCAATCAGCCATAGCAGAACTGGGACATGACTCTTAAAACAACCCAAATGTAGGCTGTGGAATACATGGACCCAAACACAACAGTTCCTGTTCACATAACAGTGCTTCCTTAAAGAACAATAGCTTAAACAGTATGTACATTCTGACTTGATATTAATACCGCCAAATTATGAATGTTGATAATCAGAAAAGTCAGTGACAGCTGTTAAATTGCCATAGCATGGCTTCACTGGGCTAAGTCTTTGTATTTTGCTGGTCTGTTTTAACTACTGTGGTTAGTGTTGAACTCTTAACATTTTTTTCACATTTTTATTTGTATTTACTCATGTATTCATATTTTTAGGTCAAAATACAACCTGTTTTTAAGAGCCTTTATGCCTTAATAAGTGAGTTACAGCATTCCTCACCACAACCCACCCCAGCGCATGCTTGCCAATATAGACTGTTTGCTTATGTTTTAATAGTTTGATCTCACCAACTTTTGGGCATTTTCAAGTCATGCTACAAAATTTTATAAATTTCATGTTCTTCCCTTAGAATGTGTTAAAGTTCATTTATATTTCACTCCAAATAGTTTGTTTCCTATGATGATCAGACATAATGATTTTTTTTTTCCATACTGCTAGGGACCTAACATAGAGTTTTGATGGTCTAAACAGAGCTTTACCTCTAAGCTGTATAGCCAGCCTTAATACAAAGAAACAATATAGTATATTATTTAAGTGATATAGTAATAAAACTATTAGTTCTTTTTGTTAAGCAGTTAACATTTGGGGGGAAACATATAACAGGTACAAATAATTTACCTGTAATCCGTACTTAGTTAAAAAATCCTTAGAAAATGTGAGAGTGAAAAATGATTAGAAACAATTGACTTTCTTGTCTCAGGGGGCCTTTTTGCCCATCCACTTTCATGGTTCCTTAGATGTTACAACTGCCAATTTCCAGTCTCTGTTGCTACTTTCCTCAAACCTGTTCTCCTTCCACACACAAAATATGATTAACTCAATTCTGTTTCACTAAAACCAGAACAAAGCTCATTGGTGTTCGCCACCTGATACTTGGTGTCTGTGTATGTGTGTGGTATGCATGCATGTTTGCTTGTTCATGCATGTGAGTGCACAGCATGTGTGAGCGTGCACAAATGTGTACATGTGTGGAAGGCTCAAGTTGATGTTGGGTGTCTATCGTTCTCCACTTTATTTATTGAGGTGAGGCAGGGTCTCTGGCTGAACCCAGAGCTTCCCAATTCCAGCTAATCCAGCTAGCCAGTGTGCTCCAGAATTCCCCGTCTCTGCCCTTCAGAGTGCTGGGATTACAGATGGTCTCCACACCTGCCTAGTTTTTATGTGGGTACTTGGGATCTGAATTCTGGTTCTCATGCTTGCACAGAAAGAAATTTATTCGCTGAGCCATATCCTGGGGCTCTCTACCTGCTGCTTCTACCCATGCTACCCACCTTTTCATCCCCTGGGATGGAAGTTCAGTCATTCTACTTGTGCATAGGCACTTACTTCAAGCTATGGTTCCCTCTCTAAACCCAGGTTTACCCTTTTATTGGACTTGTTCTTCTTTTGTTTTTTTGACACAGGGTCTCCTTGTAGCCCCAGCTGTCCTGGAACTCACTTTGTAGACCAGGCTGGCCTTGAACTCACAGAGATACACCTGCCTCTGCCTCCCAAGTGCTGGGACTACAGGCGTGCGCCACCACACCTGGCTTGCACTAGAATTTTTAATCTCCTTCTCTCTTTCCTTTCTGCCTCTCTTTCTCCTCTTTCCCTCCCCTATCCCCTTTTCACTTTGAGATATGATCTTTTGTAGACAAGGTTGGCTTCAGACCTACCCATGATCTTCCTACCTCAGGTCTGCCTTCCTAAGTGCTGGGATTATAGCCATACACCACCAGATCCAGCTTTAGTCTTTGATTCTAAACATCCCCATGTGATAGATGTATCCTTTGACTCCTATCCCTAGTCCCATTTCCTCTGTCATGCTCCTCTGTACCTTGAAGCATCATTTTTATGAGGTAGATAAGTTTCTGGCTTTCTTTTTTACCCCTTAAAATTCTTATGTGTATGTCCTGGAGTTGTACATTTAAATCACATAGAATTGTGATTCTATAGTACTTTTCATGTCTAGTCAATAAAGTTTCAGATTTTTCTGTGTTGCTATCTGTACAGGTTTAGGGATTTTTATATTGCCCCATCATTGTATGAACTCAGGCTGTTTTCTGTTTTCATCGATCAGTACATGGGCGTTTAGATTGTGTCTGGGGGTTTTGTCTTTATAAGCAGTACAGAAGTGAACATCTTTGAGGGACTGTCCTTGAGAGCATGTTCAAGAGATTCTGTAGGGTTTATTTACCTCCAAGTCAAATACTGGGTCACAGCATAGGCATATCTTAGTGAAATGCTATCAGATTGCCACAGTAATTGGCCTAACAGTACTTAGAGGTTCCACCAACAGTGCGCAGACCATTCCTGTCCTTCACCTGTACTTAAATAAATTTTAGTTTTTCCTTTTATATCCGGAAGTTATTACTAAATTCTTACCACCCACAGTTTTGCATTTGAAGAGTAATGCTGTAAGATATTTATTCCAGCCAGAGAGTTCTCTGCCATCTGGTTACAGATGAGAAGAATCATCTATGGAAAGCTTTCAGACCGTTGTGTTCATCTGGCCCTCTGCACCAACATGGGAATACACTAAATGGCAGATCATTCAAGCGATATTATTCTAGCAACTTGTCAACTTTTAGAAAGAAATGACTACCTGTATGTTTAATATGTGTCATATATTCTCTTTTATAACTTGATTTCTTTTTTACTTGATTGAGAGAAAGTGACCTTTTTCTGATATAACAAATTTTTGTGAATAATTGACAAAAAGAAGTCTTTTGTGACTCTTTAAACAAGTGAGGCTTGTTTCATTTATACTGGATTTTGTTTTTCCCCACCTCTAGGTAGCCTTTCCAGTAAACTTATGACTCAGGGAAAAGCCTCATCGAAGAGGACCCAACATGAATCATGAGGGAAGGAAAATGCAGAGCACTCTAAATGGCCTCAAGGTTCCCTGTCCACTTGGAAAACTAGGTTCATTTCACAGGACACAGCAACATAGATCGGGCTTCAACTTAACAGTTGAGGGAAATGTTGGAATTTTTTTAACTTAATTAAATTGTTAATGAGGGAAAAAATTTTTAATAGTCTTACCTACCATCAATCCCTAAAGGTTTAAGGATTTTAATAGAAAGCCATGATGTATTTAAGCCAAGTTAGAAGGAAAAATGTAACTATGGGCCAGTATTCGATGACTACAGCTTCATGGTTTTTAATTCTTTGAAAGCACACTAAATAGTGTGCTACTAAACCCCACATAAATGAATCCTCCTTTCCCCTGTAAATCCCTCTTTTGTTTCAAAGAGGGGACATTCTATTTATTGTTACTGCTGAATCCTCATATGGATGCGTATCAAATCTCTGTGAACTGCTACTGCTGTACTTAGGGTCTCCACATTCGTTCATTGTCCAGAAGTGCTAACAGGAGTGTGAGTAGTTAGTGAGCTCGGGGGACCTCAGGGCCCGAGATGGCTCTGGGGTTTCCTTCTGTAATCTTAAGTGAACTCATAAAAATGAAATCATGAAAACAAGTAGTCTGTTTGCGGATTTCACAAACAAAAAAATTTTCTAAGGAGAAAATGACAGAATAAAAGTGCTTTTTACTTCTTATGATACTCAGAAATTAGGGTGGAGCGCTTTTACAAACCTCTGAAAATCAAAGAGGCTGCTGTCTACCAATCACAAGTTTGATTGGAATCCTTCTGGGTCTGACTGGAGCCCTCTCTGAACTGTTTCTCTAACTTCACAGGCCTTTCTGAAATAGTACATAGAACTATGCCTCGGTTTATTTATCATTTTGAAATAAATTCGACATTTCAACCTGTAATCTTATCCACATTATTTTCTGGTGAAAGAGCCCTAAGTTTCTTTAGAACAATAAATCACAGACGGGATAATATGTACCTCTTCTTTGACATCTTGTATACCGTTCCCTTTGATGTGTGCAGTGGTCTGTGGTGTTCATTGATGCCTGTGTGCCCGGTCCTGGGAGGAGTGTACAAGACAGGGCTGAGAGCAGTGAATGCTGTGTGAGAAGATTTGGAAGACACATATGTACACTTCTGTTTTTAGCTACAGAAGAATCATCAAAATTAAGAAATTGAGAATTTGGAAATCATGGAAAAAAATAAAAATGGTGATCAGTTGGAATACAAACTCATGAATTGCTTCACCCGGCCTGCCCTGTTCATGATTCTCATCTGCTCTTCTGGTTTCCTCTCTTGCCTCTGGGCATGAGTGACTCAGAGTGCCCCTCTGGCCACACTTCCTTTGAAAGGCTTTGTGTGTGTGTGTGTGTGTGTGTGTGTGTGTGTGTGTGTGTACGTGTTTTATTTAAGAATTACTTCAATCTAGAAAATGTTTCTCCAGTGACTGAAGTGAGTAGCTCCAGTGTTATCTACCTGTTTTTGAGAAAATATCTTCCTAGTTTTGTTTTTGATAGCTTTTCTCAATATTCTGCTCCCGATGATCTTTTTCAATCTCCTCCTAGAGGAACTTCTCATTTAATCGCCACATGGCTGCTTTGACTCTGCTACTTTTTTAGTTCTAATGTGAATATTACGATTGTTTTTCTTTTTCTTTTTCTTTTTCTTTTTTTTTTTTTTTTTTCTTTTTGAGACAGGGTCACCCTGTAGCCACAGTTGTCCTGGAACTCTCTAGACCAGATTGGCCTTGATCACACAGAGATCCACCTGCCTCTGCCTCCCAAGTACTGGGATTAATGGTGTATACCACCACACCTGGCTGTATTTCTAATTTTCATTCCTTTGGTTTTACTCCTATATTTTCTTCCTTGTATCCTTTTAAGAACATTAAAGGTTTCCTCCATTTTTTTTTGATTCTAACCATAGATTCTACCCAAAACACTGGTTTTTTGATTGCTCGCATTGTGACTATGGGACAGTGTGAAGTGTTTGCAGCAGAGGGGAGAATAGCTTGCCAGCGGCTCACCCTGCTACAAGTCACTGCCTCTCCAGGCTCCAGCTCTGTGCAGAGTCCAGTTCCTGTCAAAGCTGTCTTCACAAGTAGGACCAGTGCCCCACAACCATGCTTCTCTCTTGAGCAAACAAAAGCATGAAATCCAGTTTTGGCAGCAATTGTCCTGAGACCCGAATCTTCACTTTTCAATAGTCTCACTCAGTTGGACAGTTTCAGCAGTCTTCAGGTTAAAAAATGACTTTTTTAGTGTTCTTAATTTACCTATTTTTCCTTTTGCGTAAAAAGCAGCTTCTGTTTTTTTAAGAAAAAAAATCTCTCCCCAGTGGAAATAAAGTATAAATCAGTGAGTGGAGTTCACAAGTGTTATAAGCAAAAAAAAGTTTAAAACAATTTAACAGCTCCCTATAACACAATAAAAACACTGTAAAGAAGTGTTCAAAACATTTTCTTTGATGCTGGGCCTGTCTGGACAGCAGCAAACTAGGGCACTGTATACGTGCCATCCAGTGGAACGAGACTTAAAGTTACCCAGCTGTATGGCCAGGCTTTGGGCAGTTCTGTTTCCATCCTGTAAAATGGCAGCCATACCTGCCCTTCCAGAGCCGTGAGGGTCAAGTGAGACCTCACGCAGAATTCTTGTTTAAATGTCTAGAACCGTGAGACTAAATCCTGAAGTGCAGTTACAAACATTTCCCTACTTTCAACACTACTGGAAACCTAAACGTGGTTAGAGCCTGCAAACTCCTTTGGTACTCCCCACACCCACCTCATTCCAACAGTGCAGAGCAGCTGCTGTTCTGAGATAAAGGAGCCCATCTACTTCTTCAGTGATCACGAGAACTCACCCAATGTACCACCTATTGCCAGGACCTATGCCAGCTTCAAATGACACCTGATTCAGTGACAAGTAGATTTCGTGTCAGTGTTTATGTGCAAAACAGCTAGCCAAATGAAAACAATAAAAAAAGGCTAAATTAAATACACAGGATCCTGAATCAGGAAATTTAGAATTATAGTTAAAATAACCCGGTTGAAGAGATGGTGCAAGTTAAGAGCATTGGCTGCTCTTGCAAAGGACCTGGGTTCAGTTCCCACCACCCACTTGGCAGCTAACAACCACCCATAACTCCACTTCCAAATCGGACACCTTCTTCTGACCTCCACAGGTATTGCAGACACGGGTGCACTTGCATGCAGGTAATACACTCACATACTTAAGATAAAATAAAAATGAATTTTTTTTTTTTAATCTAAGGCACTGTACTAAAATCCTTGGTTAAGCATCACTTGTAAATCAACCATGTCAGTGCTTCTGCCTGGATCAGCTGAGGCTGATAGGAGACAATGTGTGGGGAGTTCTTTGCAAACCTTGTAGCTACACAACTATATAGCATTTCAACAACTGAAAATTTGACACGTGGTATGTGTTTTTTGAAGAACAGCTTTAGGTTCACAGAAAAACGAATAGTTCCATAAGCCAGGTCCCCCTCTCATGGGACTCTCCATCATTCTCCGAGGTGGGTGTGTTAAAATCCTTAGGTCACATTGATGTTCAGTCTGCAGGCTTCACTCTTGGTGGTATACATTGGCATGGGTACCACGTCATAGAGTAGTTTCACAACACTTGATATCATTAATATCCATTTATTAGTAGTGTTTGTGGAGTGCATGAGCTTTTCATGTATTCCTTTAATCTCCCCAGTATTTGCAGGAGGAAAAGCATCAAGATACCTGATCCTAAATCACCTAGCTAGTCAAAAATGATGTCACATAAACCCAACACCCTACTGCCTCACAATCCCAGTTTTTTTGTGTGTGTGCAGTTGGAGCATAGGAAAAATCCTTTGGTGGAGTAGCATTTCTGAAGCAACAACTTCCTGACAATTTTGATGTATCATTTTTGACCCTATAGCTTCTAGAGGATCAGAAATGAATTGGGAGGGTAAGAGTAGTTTAATTCAGCACTTGCCTAGAATGCACATTTGTCTCAAAACAAAAAACATCACCATGGGAAACCTGTACTGGTTTTATTTCCATGTGCTAACCGTACAGTACTGTGTCCCCAAAGGATCTCCCTGCGCGGGGCTGTCCTGTGCTCCTAGGCCTTGGCAGCTGCCTCCGCCGCGGGGTATGCCGGAGGCCATGGCGCCGGCCCCGCCCAGGCTTTGAAGACCCGAGTCAGCAAGGTCGCAGGTCGTGGCTCGTCCCCAGCAGCTCTCCTCGTGGACGGGCAGCGTCAGCGGTGACGCCTTCCGCCCTGGCCTCACCGGCCCGTCACTCACACTGACCGTCCAATGGCGGCGGCGGGGCGGGGTCTGGGCGTCTCGGCTGGAGCTTGTGGCGTCAAAGCGCCCGCCGTGTCCATGGAGAGAGGCTGAGGCCGCTCGGCCCGAGGCTGCGGGCGCCGGCACCGCGGACATGTCGGCTTCGTTGGTCCGGGCCACCGTACGGGCTGTGAGCAAGAGGAAGCTGCAGCCCACGCGGGCCGCCCTTACGCTGGTGAGTCCCCCGCTGACCCCGCCGCCTCGCGGAGGTCACGTCGGTAAACAAGCCGCGGCGGACTACGGCTCCCGGCAGGCCTCGCGCTCGGCCGCAAAGCGGGCCGGGGAGGTAGACGTGCGGGCCGTGCTGGGGCCTCGCGGGGCCTCCGGCGGGCGGCGGGACCGGGAAACCCCGATCTGCGCAGAGGACAAAGAAGGAAGGTCCCAGGCCGAGCTGGCAGCGCTCTCTGGGACGAAGGTCACACTGCGGGCGCCCTGAGGCCGCAGCCGGTTGAGTGGCTGAGGTACCGCGTCTTCGCGGTTGTGTAGGGTACATTTCGAGTGCTGTGCAACCGTTTCCTGTCCCGCACATTGCACCCCGGGCAAGCTTAGGTCAGTCCAACAGTCATCGCCTGCACCCCATTCCCAGTGAGCCTAGACACCGGGAAACCACACGGTTTAGATGCAGTCGTAAATCTTCCCTACATAGGGCCAGGTCAGTGAAATGGAGGAAAGCCGTGAACCGCTGGGAGAACTCATTTCTATTATAGATGGTTATTTGGGCCCTTCGAGTTATCCCTATCAAACTGTATTCTGCATTGCTTTTCCTGTACTACCGAGCTCCTTTTCATGTCTAGTAGGCACACCATGGAATCTAGAGTTATCCAGGATCACAATTTCTAGTTTTTTTCTCTCGCCCACCCACCCTCTTTTTTTAAGATAGGTTCTCCCTCTGTAACTGGCTGGCCTGGAACCCGCTACATAGACCAGGCTGGCCTCGAACTCCCAGAGGGCTGCCTCTGCCTCTGGGATTAAAGGCTTGCACTACCATGCCCTGCTGTGTTTCATCTTAATTTCGGTAAAAATTACTCAGCATTCAGCAGAGTTCTTACACTAGTAATGGTAGATCTAGGAAAAGTCAGGGTACAAGGACAGTTTTTTAAAAGACTTTATCACCATGCCCTACCACATCACCTGTTACTTGAGAATTTTTGAGCTGGCTCTTTGCTCTTCATTTCTGCCCTTTCAGCAGACATTATTGGGACCCTCTGAGTTTCAGGACAAGAAATAAGTGAGTTACTCAGTTCCCACCTTCCATGGACCCAAACCGAAACAAAACTGCCATTCTTGTAAGGAGTGGCATCTCACTTCCCAGGCCGGCTGTCTGTCCATCTTCTTTCTCCTTGGTTACATATTATCACAGCAGTTGTCAGTTATCAGGACTCCCTGTTGCCTGATGCAGTACAGTCAGTTGTCTGAACTCATCCTTAATGTTATGCCTGACCGTAGATTCTCATTTCCCTGTGACTTTCTTGGGAGCTAGTATGAGAGATAAAGCACGTGGGTGGCCAATGATCACTTTAGCCCTAACTTCTGTACCCTCATCTCAAGACACTATAGCCTGTGTTGCTGTTTGTGCTCGGTTTTCAAGTGTTTGGTAAACATTTTTGAACCGATGCCAAAAGCAGTGAGGAGATAAATGACCTAACTGAGTGAGTTAGAGACAGATAAAGCAAACAGAAGTAGAGATGATAAGCTGGGCGTGGTGGCACAGTTCTAATGTCAGCATTGCCTTTAATCCCAACATGTGAGATCAAAGCCAGCCTAGTCTACATAGTGGGTTCCAGGTCAGTTGGGGCTACAGCTGTCTCAAAAAAAAAAAGGAGAGATAATAAAACTGATAGAGGTATTACTTGGCTTTATCAGTTTTGACATCAGGAGTTTGACATTTTGTGCTGTAACACCTACTAGAAGTCAGCAAATGGCTAGGAAATAACATGAAAGCATGTTACCCAGTTATGTGCTGGAGGGAAGGGTTTAGACTAGTGATGGACTTCCCAGGAAGCATTTATACACACCAGCAGTGGCTCCAGCTCACATCAGTGAACCCTTGGTCCCTTTCCCATACATATAGGAACTGACATGTGCAGTTAAATTTATAGGGACCAGAGTAAGATGTGACTAAACATGAAAATTACCACCTAGCTGACAAGCTCCTTTATTTCTATCATTGTACAAGATGGCATTAGGGCAACCCTAGTTTATGATTATAGCTCATGCTGCACAAAGCACAACTGTGGTTCTGTGAGTAAAGGATGGAGCACAGCCAGGATAAATTGCCATGCATGGAGAAATGCTAACTCATACACAGAGGCTGCCTTCAGGCTTGACTTTCTAGTGGAAAGTCTGGGGTTCAGTGGTAGAACAGTTGCTTAGGGTGGTGGGAGAAGTGGGAAAGAGGGAGAGAGATCCTGTTATAAAAAGTTTTTGTGTGTATGTATTGTCTGCATGTGTCAAAGCGTACCCATGTAGGAGTCAGAAGTGGGCTTTGAATTCCCCTGGAGTTGGAGTTACAAACATGGTTGTTAGCTGCCATGTGAGTGCTGGGAATCAAACCTGGGTCCTCTGCCAGAGTAGCCAGTGCTCTTAACCACTGAGCCATCTCTTCAGTCCCAAAAGTTGATTCTTTTTAAAAAATTGTAGTCATGGCTCTTCAGTCATTAATTTAGTAGCCCTATGCAAATTTTTAATTAGGCTTAAACCATAGAATTATGAGAATAAAACCATGAAGTATAAAAATACACCAGGGGTAGGGGATGTAGCTCAGTTGGTAAAGTATTTGTGCAAGACTGAGGACCTGAAATTCATCTCCAGTACCCAGATTAGAAAGCCAGGTAGTATTTTGTACTTGTAATCCCAGTGCTTGGGAGGAGGGTGGGGAAGTGGGATAGGCAGATCCCTGGAGCTCCCAAGCTAGCCAGCCTAGCCTGGGCAGGCTCCAAGCTAGTGAGAGACCCTGTCTCTAAAAAAAGGGCGGACAGTGCCTCAGGAGCCCAAGGTTAAGCTCTGACCTCTGGGCAGCATACTCAGGCATACAGACACCTAGAAGGCACCCAGACGTTGACCACTTTTTATCTGTTGCCTTTTAAAGATTAAAATACCAGGTTCATGGTGAAATTTAAGTAGGCTATGGTTGCTGATACCTTATTAAGGAATCAATTTAGGGGTGTTAGTTTTGTTTTCCGAAAACAGCAAAGAAAAGAAAAAGTAGGGGGTTTCTTAAGTAAATACAATGTTGAGGGTAACAAATGCCCGCAGCAGAAATTGCTGACATTGCTGAAGTGAAAGTGGCGGGAAGCAGTTCAGAGCCCCACCTTGAGTGCCTTTCCCAGCATTTGGACAACAAAAATAGCCCAGGAATAATTGTTTTTGAAAATTTAGCCCCAAACATCTTCAAGGTATTCTGTCATTCTAAGCGAACCAGTTTCTGTGTCAAAACAGTCTGATCAGTCGCTAAGCAAATTGCAGTGTCATTTTCCTCTTGGTTGAGTGCTTAACTGGGTAAGTTCTCACTAACACTTCCCCAGGGAGGTCTGTTTGCTTTTCACTTGACAGCAAAATAAAGATACATTTTGGCTTCTGTAACAGTTGCTGCACGCAGGTTCTTATTTAATGTTACTTTCCCTGGCTGTCTTTCTGTATAAGATGCATGTCAGCACCCCTGTGGTGAGCCAACCTCTACATGACTTCCTTTTATTGGCTGTGTTTAGATATTTTTAATTTTGTTTTGTTTTATTTTGAGATGGGTCTAACTGTGTAGACCAGGCTAACCTAGAACTCATGATCCTCCTATCTTGGCCTCCCAGGATTACAGGTGGCCACTGTTTAAATGCTTTCTACTAAGACTGGAGAAAAGAGGCTGTATTGATTTGTAAGACCAAATGAGGCCGTTGAGAAAACTTCTTGGAGAGAACACTCAGGCTTGGCTGACCAGAGAGCCCCATTTGTCTTTTCACCTTTGACCTGCCCACTCTACACCTGCCTTAGACATAAGATTTTAGCTCTAACAAATATTTTTCCTTCAGCTATACCTTTTCTAAGATTTTTTTTTCAGAAATCTTATTTTATTCGACAAAATAGATTGATTACTTCAGCACTTGCATAAGAAATGCACCTGTGAAAATTGACAAATGGAAGGCAAGAAAGGTAGTTTTTATTAATCTTTATTTGGAAGGGTAAACAGTCACTTTTTTTTTTTTTTTTTTGGTCTTTTTGAAGCGGGGTCTCCTTAAAAAGCGCCGCCTGTCCGGGACCTCACTATGTAGCCCGGGCTGGCTTTGACCCCAAAGAAACCCCCCTGCCTCTGCCTCCCAAGTGCTGGGACTACAGGCATGCACCACCATGCCTGGCAACTATCACATTTTTTTTTAATGTTTTAAGCCAGGCGTGGTGGTGCACGCCTTTAATCCCAGCACTGCAGAGGCAGGTGGATTTCTGTGAGTTCAAGGCCAGCTCGGACTATAGAGAGACCCTGCCTCAAAAAGACCAAAAAATAAAAAATGTTTTAATAATCCTTGATAAACCTGTTTATTTTCAATATTTTTTTCTCTTTGAAATAAGAAGCTTATAATTTCATTCTATCAAAGCCTAAAACTCTGTCAGTCAACAAATCCAAATTATTATACATTTGTTTGAGTCCCCCCTCAACAAAGTTGGCATTTAAAAGTTATTTTCTTTCTTTCCAGGGGACACATACACACACAGGAAACCAGTAAATTAATGTATTCTGGGAAAATTTACTATACTGAATATTAATGCTTTTAGTTAATTTTGTTTGAAGGTATTCCTGGCATCTTTTATATACAGTGACTTACTGAGAATTATATTTATACGGTTATGAATAAAGGCAAGCTTTTTCCTCTTAACAGAACTATTTCTACGGAAGTTAATCAAATCCCTAAAGCATTTACTTAGCTATCGATTTCTCTAATATTCTTGTGCTCTAATTATTTTAGTAGTTTTTATTTGGCTTTATGTTTTATATTATATTTATTTATGGATTTTTTTGAGACAAGATCTCCCAGGAGTCCCAAAGGACATGAAACTGGCTGTGTAGATCAAGCTGGCCTCAATCTCACAGAGTTCCACCTGCCTCTGCCTCCTGAGCCCTGGGATTAAAGGCATGTGCCACACCCGGCTTGACTTTATTTTTAAATGTCTTGTTTATATAACCTTATCTTATAGGGAGTAAAAATAATGGCCAATTTTAATAAAGTCATCTGCAATTAGTTTGATCTATGATAGACAAAAGCTACCAAATAACCAGATAAAAATTCAAAGTCTTACTATTAAATTAATCTGGCGTGACCATAACAAGTTAAGGGTAATATTATTTTTCTTCTAGCTGGGCATGGTGGCACATGCCTTTAATCCCAGCACTCAGGAGGCAGAGGCTGGTGGATCTCTGTGAGTTCAAGGCCAGCCTGGTCTACATAGCGAGTTCCAGGCCAGGTAGGGCGGCAGGGAGACCCTGTTTCAAAAAGACCAAAAACCAAACAAACGAATATTATTTTTCTTCTATAATTTTTAATTTAAAAAATTTGACAGTTTGACATTTTCACACATGGATATAGTGAATTTTAGTAATTTTCATCCCCCTATTGACCTTTATCATCCACCTCTCTCTGCCACTGAAACTCTTCTTCCCAACAAACATACTACTTTAGTGTCTTTGTGTATGTTCCTGAGTGTGTGTGTGTATACCATATGTGTGCAGGTGCCCATGGAGACCAGAAGAGGGCATCAAATTCCCTGGAACTGAAGTTATAGACAATTGTGAGTCTCCCAGTGTAGGTGCTGGGCTAGAACCCAAGCATCTGCAAGGGTAGCAAGTGTTCTTAACCACTGATCCATCTCTCCAGACCTGCTTTTTCTTTTTAATGTCTTAATTTTTTTATTACATTTATTTGTTATTTTGAGATGGGGGCACCTGCCACAGTGTAATTACGGAAGTTAGAGAACAACTTGCTAGAGTTAGTTCTCACCTTCCATCATGTGGGTTCCAGGGATCAAACTCAAGTTATCCTGTTTGGAGACAAGCACCTTTACTCGCCGAGCCATCTTGCTGGCCCTTTTTTAATGTTTTAATGAACAGTTTTGCTAATTCCTTTTTTAACAATTCTACACAGTAAGAAGTACACGTGTGCATGTTAATAACTTTAAAGGCACACTAAATAGCACCCACTTGTCTTAAATGCAGCATGTTGCTTTGTTGAGGAGTGGGGTGCATGTGTGGGGGCCAGAGGATAACCTCAGCTATCCTCCCTCCTGTGCTAGCCACCTCTCTTTTTCTTTGAGACAGGGTCTCTCACTGGCCTGGAGTTCACCAAGTAGGCTAGGCTGGCTGGTCAGCATGCCCCAGGGATCTGCCTAGTTCTGCCTCCCCAGCCCTGTGATGACAAATAGACCCCACCATGCCTGGTTTTTTTTTAATGTGGAGATTGAACCTCATACTTACAGGGCAAAGCACTGGCCCCCCTTTTTTTTTTAATGTTGGGTCTATACCTTCTACTTTTTACATTGGGTTCATGTCTCTTCTGATTTGATTCTACACTGTAATTGTACTTCATTATCTGTCCAAGCCTTTGACAGGACAGGGAAAGATCTTAATCGAGGGACATGCCTAAGGGCTGTCACCCCAGCATTGGCTTGAATGCCGAATACTAAGTAATGGATTATAATATATGGGGTAACAAGGCATTGCCAACTAGAAATGCTAACCAGCTTCCTGCTTTCTAGTAGAAAGGACATTATTCCTTTGTTAAGACGTTCTCATACTTTTCTGATAGTAGCTGTCAGATTGAGTTCTGTGTGCCTGGCACTCTCCTGGATTTTAGTATTTAATTCTTTTTGTGCCTGCCTTCACTGAATGCCAATATTGAATTTTCACAGAAATTCTGAGGCATAGGGACAAATACCCCCATTCCCCAGTAGGTAACTAGAAGTTCAGAAAACAGTTTATAAAGTGACTGCCCTCCAGACATGGTTGGTACACACCCTTTAATCCCAGAATTTAGGAGGCAGAGGAGGCCTGGTCTACATGGGAAGTTCCAAGTCAACTGGGGCTGCAGAGAGATCTTGTCTCAAAAAAAAAAAAAAAAAAAAAATCTAACCCTGGGACATACCCAGGAAGTGGGCCAGGACTGTCCCAAAATAGATTGGATTCCCAACATCCTCCCCAAGAAGATGGGATAAGTGACACTAATCTGCACATAGCATACATCATGACATTTTTCTCATCCTGATGAGAAAACCACATCCTTTCAGACAAACAACACCCAGGCAGAGGCAGCCTGGTCTACATGGGGAGTTCCAGACTAGCTGCAGAGAGACCCTGTCTCAAAAAGAAAGAAATCAACTCCTGGGACATACCCAGGAAGTAGGCCAGGACTGTCCCAGAATAGATTGGATTCCCAACATCCTCCCCAAGAAAATGGGATGAGTGACCTATCATTGAGTAGCCTAGGTGTCCAAATATGTTGTTTTGCACCATGCTAAAAATCTGTGACCAGAAGCAATCTGCATTGAGTTAGAAACACTTCTCTAGCCGTACATTCTGATGGGTCTAAAATGGTTAAACCAGCAGGAAAAACACCCAAAGGTTGGCTTTTCCATTGATGCACTGGATTGATTCATTGGCTATTTGTGAGCTTCTGTTCCTTGCTATATGCTTAATACTGGGCGTACAGTAGATGCACAAAAGACAGTCTTTCCAGAAAATCACATTTGTGATGCAGTAGACAGTACAGATAGAGTAAGTGTGCTTTCAGTGTAGTGCATGCATATGTTAGTAGATGAAATCCACAGGGTCCTCTGGCAAGAATGGAATATTTGTCACATGAATTTATAAGTCAAGCTTGTATAGTTTTAAAGTCTGTGGCTTTGAAGAATGCAAATTTTGTAGCTAAAATCTTAACATTTTATTTTTCAGACACCCTCAGCTGTAAACAAAATAAAACAGCTTCTTAAAGATAAGCCTGAACATGTAAGTAACACCTGTTAAATATTTAGCAAAAAATTAAAGTTCTATTTTCAGGATTAATGTATCTTGTTGCATATAGTATATTTCCATTAACTAGGCTGTTCTGTTCTGTTTTGTTGGTTTGCAGTGCTAAGGATTCTACTTAAGGCCTCATTCATGCTAGACAAGTGCTCTACCTCAGAGGTACACCCCACCTCCAGTCACGACTTTAATTTAAAGATTGAAATCCTATAGAAGAGGCTTTTCTGAAAAATAGAAGCTACTCTGAACCCTAGGCACTTTGTCACTCTTTCTTCCCAAATGCTGCCTGTTAGTGCGTGTGTGTTGTGGTTTTTCAGACTCCACACTGTGGTGTCAGGGTGGTCTGTAGCATTTCTGGCCTTTTCCTACAGCATGTCAATAGCACCCTATCCCAAGGTTGTGACAGCCAAAAGGAGGAACCACTGGCCTATACTGTTCTTGTGTCTTTGTCTATACAAGAGCATACCATGCATGCTATCATTATAGTTGGCTTTTGCCCTAATAATTCAGCTTGAAGATCTTGCGAATTGTTATATAAAGGTTTGCCTCCTCCTTCATGACTGCATATATTCCACTGAGCAGGTTTGGTGTGTTTGACTGATCCTTTTTATGAAAGGTCTTTGGGTTGTTTTCTTCATTGCTGCCATAGAACATCATTGACCAGCAATTGGTGTAGTAGCTGTAGTGTGCTGGGCCCATTGTTCTAGGCTTAGAAGCATGGCTAACTATACCCACACAAGACCCAGTTCCTGCATGCAGGATTGTTGAGTCAGGTCTGTGCATCATGTTATTCACCATGCATTGTTAATAGTTGATAGGATGCTGTAAATATTTCAAGCAATGGCCTGTAGATAGCTAAGTAATTATTAGACTGTGAAATTATTTTCTGGTTTCTATTTACAACTTAATGGGGCTTTTCATACCTCTATCCTGAGTCATTAAATGCTGACAGAGGTCAGTGTTCCAACTGCATTTGGATTGATGACTTTTAGTATATAAAATAACCAAAACAATAACAACAACAACAAGAACCCTGTGAAGTTAGTCTTAGAGATTTATGGGCTGTTTATTCCATTGATGTAAAAATGTGCAGTTTATAACATGAGCAATCTCTTCACCAAACTGTCATTAACTAAACCTTTTGTTTTGAGACAGAGTTTCATTGTGTAGCCTTGCACGGCCTAGAATTTACTATGTAAACCAGGCCACCCTTGAACTCGCAGAGATCTGCCTGCCTCTGCTGAGTGCTGATATTGCAAGTGTGAGTCACCAAGCCAGGCCTAAACCTGTATTTTCAGGTTGTTTTAGTGTTTGTGTACGTGCTGGGAATAAACCTAGGAGTTCACACATACTAAGCACATGCCGTACTACTGAGCTGTCCCTCAAACCTATTTACACAGTCTCTCAATGTCTTATTTCCTAATATTTGGACTTGTGTTTTTTTAGAGGACTTCCTGTTTACAAAGGTAGAAACTAAAACAAATGCCTAGGACCTGTGCTCCAGAAATTTATCTAAGTAGTTTATCACCACCTAGAATGTGAAAATTCCTCATGGTTTCAAAGCTTTGGAAAGATGAGTAAAACCTCCCTCATGACTGAGCTCCTGAAACCTGCACACATTGCTGAGCTTCATAGAATTGGGGTGTCCTGATAGAATAATACTTAAGATAATAGTACTTTATGTACATAAATGGAAAAGCAGGCTCTAAGATAGAAAAAAGGTTACATTGCTATACACATTAGTTTTTTAGATGTGCTGTTTAGTCACTTTTCAAACTTTGTTTTTGTGTGGTAATACTCAGAATTGAGCACAGGGAGTTGAACACGCTATGAGTACTCTCTGCCTGTGAGCTACACCTGACCCTACTTTGACAATTTCTGCAGTCTTTGGCTTGTTTATATTTTGGAATGCTTGGATATGCCCTGGAATAGAGGCTTCTGTATAAAAGTGGGATGGTTGCCAAATGATGGCCTATGGACTGTGGTGCATGCTGACCACAGGGGAACCACCAAGAGAAACTCAGCAAAAACTATTCTAAAAACTGCCAAGCTTTTTAAAAAAAATCTTACTTATTTAACGTGTATGAGTGTTATACCTGCATGTATAGAAGTGCACCTATTTCATGAAATGCCTACAGAGGCCAGAAGAAGGCGTCAGATCCCCTGGAATTGGAGTTACAAAGGATTGTTAGCTGCCATGTGGGTACTGGGATTTGAACCTGGGTTCTCTGTAAGAGCAGCCAGTGCTCTTAACCTCTGAGCCATCTCTCCAGCTCCAAACCTCCACGTTTTAATGTAGGAGTCTGCCATCAATACTCTCATATGATAGTTAGAAAAATAAATTCAATGTGCAAATGGTACTCTGTGTCCATAATATAAAATAGTAAAATTTTTAATCTGCTGCAATAAAAACTGTATCTCAATTGTGTATATGACCTAGATTAGATAAAAACAGAAAATCTGCTTTCTTAGATAATAGTGGTTATAGGATCTTTTTAATGCTCGTTTCCTATTGCATTTATTCTTCCCGGGGCATTTTATAACCAGAAATCTAATGTTTATCTCTGAGGTTATGAGAAAATGAATAGTGGTAATAAACAGCCAAGGTTGCTTTTTTTCTTTTAATTTTTGTTTGTTTGTATTGTTATTTCTGTGCATTATTTCTGTGTGTGTGGTAGGTGTACTTGCATATGCATGATGTGTTCATGTGCCTGTAGAGGCCAGAGGTCAACCTCACATGGCTGCATTACTTAGGAGCCATACACCCTGATTTGTTTTCCGATTGCTTTTTGTTGTTGTTGGTTGTTTTTTGTTGGGGATTTTTTTGGTTGGTTGGTTGGTTGGTTTTGTTTTGTTGGGTTTTTTTGTTTTGTTTTGTTTTGTTTTTGGCTTTTTGAGACAGGGTCTCCTTGTAGCCCTAGCTGGCCTGGAACCCACTGTGCAGACCAGGCTAGTCTAGAACTCACAGAGATCCTCCTGCCTCTGCCTCCCAAGTGCTGGAGTTAAAGGCATGTGCCACCATGTCTGGCTTTGTTGGTCTTTTTTTTGAGACAAGGTCTCCCTATAGTCCCAGCAGACCTGGAACTCACAATGTACACCAGGCTGGCCTCCATCTCACAGAGATCCACCTGCCTCTGCCTCCCCGGTGCTCAGCTTAAAGGTATGTGCCATCATGCCTGGCTCACCTTGATTTTTGAGATAGGACTTCTCATTGGCCTGGAGCTCAAAGGGTAGGCCAGACTAGACTGGTTAGCAAACCCCAGAGACCTTTCTCTGCCTACCCTGTGTTAGGATTACAAACATGGATCACCATGTCCAGCTTTTTTATCTGGATTCTGGAGATCTCACTCAGGTCCTGTGCTTGCTTGGCAATCACTTTATTGACTGAGCTATCTCCTTGGCCCTCTTTTTCTTCCTTCCTTCCTTCCTTCCTTTCTCTTTTTTCTCTTTCTCTTTCTCTCTCTCCCTCTCTTTTTCTCTCTTTCTCTTTCTTTCTTTCTTTCTCTTTCTTTCTTTCTTTCTCTTTCTTTCTTTCTTTCGACAGTGTCTTGCTGTTTGGTCTGGACTGGCCTCCAACTTGCTACAGTCCTCATGCCTCAGCCTGCCCGTGCTAGATTCAAGACGTGTGTCACCACACTTGGCTGTAGCCAAAGTTTTTATTAATCATTTAATTTGCGCTTTAATACTAAATTTATATTCTCAATTTTTTCAGGTAGGTGTGAAAGTTGGTGTGCGAACCAGAGGCTGTAATGGCCTTTCTTATACCCTGGAGTATACGAAGACAAAAGGAGATTCTGATGAAGAAGTTATTCAAGATGGTACACTCCCTTGTTTTGTTTTCGGTTTTTGAGACAAAATCTTTTTGTAGCCCAAGCTAGTCCTGAGATCCTTATATAGCCAGATAATAAGGATGACCTTAAATTCCTGCTCCTCCTACTCCATCTCATAAGTGCTGGGAATTACCGGTGTACACCACCATGCCTGGGTCTGGTAGATATTTTTAACAATTTCTGGACACTTCGTTCTGCAGACAATTTTTAGCTTTGTACAAAGCTGATTAGAGACCAATGTTTGAAGTAGAAATTGTGTAAGTAATGCTTATTGTGTGCCAGACATTGATGGCCAGACTCATTTCATATGTGACTTACATGAGCAACTGAATGAGGGAAATGCCATCTTCCATGTTATGATGAGGCATCATGTGTAAGGAGAGGCTTCATACCTTGCCCAAGGTCACACAGTGAGAAAGTACCTCATGGAGATTGGAACCAAGGAAGTTTTCTAACTTTCTAAGTGATTGGATAAGTTACTGTTTTGTTTCAGCTCTCAATAGTCACCACCGTGTCTAGAAAGGTTTGCTTGGGTTCAGGTTTTTTGACGCAGGGTCTCCTTCCTTATCCCCAGCTGAAACTCTCTTGATTCCCTTTCCTGCACCCCTCAAGCTAGAAGTATAGATATTGCCTCTACGCTTCGCCTCACAGTTTTTCTTTTTACTTTCTTAATAGTGTGTGTGTGTGTGTGTGTGTGTATGTGTGTGTGTGTGTCCACATGCACACGATGCCTCGTACATATGGGAGTCAGAGAACAACTCTTGGGAGTTGGTTCTTTACCTCCACTGTGGGCCCTGAGGCTCAAGCTCAGGTACTCAGGCTTGTACAACAGGCTTCTTTACCCTCTGAGCCATCTTCCTGACCCTCACAAGGATTTTTAAGACCATAAAACTTAAAAGTGAACCCATCTAATCATTTCTGTTGAAACAACAGTTTTACATGTGTTAAGTGCTCTCAACTTCATACTTTTTTTTTCAAAGA